TGGTGTGAGTGCCTGGGTGTCCCAGGTCGGAGGTCGCTGTGAAAAAGCCCCGAGTGCGAGGTCGCCCGAGGCCGAGGGGACAGCCTGTGGGGAGCCCTTGGGGGCAGTGTCCCCTGGTGCTGGCCACTTGGAGTCCTTGGCTGCCCGAGGCCTTTGTCCCCAGTGCTCACTCTGGGCGCGACCCCATTCTCAGCAGCAGGACCCGCCTGACCGTGACCCCGGTGACCTGTCCGCCCGGGCGTGAGGGAGCCCCTGCAGAGCGGAGACGCCAGGAAACCCGACGCCCTCCCAGCGCCTCCCGCTCGCGCTCTGCGGGAGGGGAGCGTGGGAGAGGCGTGGGCTGCTCTGGGGAGTCCCAGTCCTCCCAGCACCGGTCCGCCAGCTCGTAAATGTCACGGCCAGCGGCGTGTTCTCAGTGTTTGTGCCGATTTAGTCGTTTCATACGTCTCGTCTCCCCGTCTCTTAAACGCAGATCTGAATGTCTGGTTGGCCCCTGTTTTTCCTTTTAGCCTCTTTCTCTCCCGGGATTCCGACGTCAACCTGAAGAACAAGGAGGGGGAGACGCCCCTACAGTGCGCCAGCCTCCACTCGCAGGTGTGGGACGCCCTGCAGATGAGCAAGGCACTGCGGGACTCGGCCCCGGACAGGCCCGTCCCCGTGGAGAAGACGGTGAGCAGGTGAGGCGTGTCCCGAGGCCAGGGCCGTCCTGTCGAGTGTCGTGGCGATGGGCGCAGGGTCTGTGAGGAGAGCTGCTCTCGGCGGCGGCCATCTGTCCTCCTCAGTCCCACCTGGGCCGCACCTATCACAGCAAAAGTCACGCCCCTTCCCTGGCAGAGACATCGCTCGCGGCTACGAGCGCATCCCCATCCCCTGCGTCAACGCCGTGGACGGCGAGCCCAGCCCCAGCAACTACAAGTACGTCTCCCAGAGCTGTGTGACGTCCCCCATGAACATCGACAGGAACATCACCCACCTGCAGGTCAGCCGTCCTGGGCCAGGGCCCTCGGCGGGGTGGCCGGGCGGCGGGGGTTTCCCAGGAGGACCCTGCTCGGGGCTGCCTCCACCGAGAGCTGAGCAGACACAGGTCCCAGAAAATGCATCCACGTCCCGTGCTGGGTCCGGCCCCCAAAGCAGAGCCTAGCGTCCCCCGTGAGTGCTGGTTCCAGGCACCGCGGGACCAGAAGGGCCCGTGCAGCGAGCTGAGGTCCCGCCTCTGCCCTGTGCCCACAGCCTGTGCCCTGCAGGCGGAAGCCAGGCGTGTGCCTCAGGCAGGGCTTGTGCTCCGGCCTGGCCTTTCCCACGGAGTGTCTCCAGGGCAGCCGTACTCCCCCCCCCCCCCCTCACGGAGCCCATGCCCAGCCCCTTCCCCAGCCTCAGCGACTGGGCATTCTGCCCCGCCCTTCTTTCTAAGAGCCCACACTCCCTTGGTGCCTTGAGAACCAAGCCGCAAGGTCATGCCCTCCCCTCAGTGGGCGTGGCTTGCGGAAACTCCTGGCAGACCAAGCCGCCTGCACGGTGGGCGGAGGGAGCGCTGAGCGTGACCCTGTCCCCCACCCCCCAGTACTGCGTCTGCATCGACGACTGCTCCTCCAGCAACTGCATGTGCGGCCAGCTCAGCATGCGCTGCTGGTACGACAAGGTGAGCACCGGGCGGGCAGCGGCCCTGCTGTCAGCCTCCCTCCCTCCCTCCCTCCAGGCCTGTTCCAAGCAGCTCAGGGGCAGGGGGCAGGGGGGCCG